GTCCCTGTGCTTTGCTAAGCTTGTTCTAAGTAGGTGCTTTAGACCACTGAGCCATCTCACCAGCCCCACTTAGTCTTTTTTTTTTTTTTTTTTTTTTAATGGTACTGGGGATTGAACTCAGGACCTTGCACATGCCACACAGGTGCTTATGCCACTGAGCTGTCTCCCTGACCTAAACCACAATTAGAAGAACTATTTAAACACGTAGACTAGGTTGCCTTCCCACACAGTATACAGCACTCTAACAGACCACCTGGGTGTATTTCTACAGATTTTTCTAGACAGAGCTCTTACCAAAGAGTCGAGCATCAATTTGGTGGACTTAGCAGGAAGTGAAAGACAGAAATCTTCAGCGTCTGAAGGAGACAGACTGAGGGAAGGATCGCGAGTTAACCTGAGTTTAACCAATTTAGGAAAAGTCATCAGGTATGTAATCTGTGTAGGCACTAAGCATTTCTTGGCTGCCCGCCGTGGTGCTCACCTGTAACCCCCGCTCAGAAGACTGAGACAGGAGGATCTCAAGTTCAGGGCCAGCCTGGGCAATTTAGGGAGACCCTGCTCAAAACAAAAAATAAAAAGAGGGATTGTCTTGGTCACTTATTCTCAATGGAACAAAACACCCAACAGCTGCAATTCAAAGAGGGAACATTTTATTTGGTGTTTCAGTCTGTATCTTGCAGGCATAAACAAGAAGCAGCATGTGGAGCCTGGGCGGAGGAAAGCTGCTCACAGGCCGGCATGGGGTGAAGGGTGTGAACTATGCCTACCCTCACTGGCGAGGTGGCCACACCGTAGGCCTGCTGCTTGGGAGGGGGAGGCAGGCAGATTACTTGAGCCCAGGAGATTGGGGTCAGCCTGGGCAACACAGCAAGATCCCACCTCCAGCAAAGCAAAGCAAAGCAAAAGGTAGTGTTGGCATTGAAGAAATAAAAAGAAAGGAGGAATTCTTATTTGTAAGACCATTATAATCAGAAGAAGGGTGGGCAGCCTGCATACAACGTAAGGGACAGAAAGAGGCTTGTCTTCCCCCTTCTGCTTTTGCTGTCTTCTGGGACTATGAATTATTACGCCTCTGCCATGTGCTACGCTGCCTGGAGCCAGAGAAGTATGGACTGAAACCTCTACAAACTGAGCTAATAAACCTTTCCTCTCTCAACTTGGGGCATCAGGTATTTTGTCTTAGCAATGAGAAAAGTAATTATGTTTTTCACTGATTATCTAATTGATGTTTCTTCAAATCTAATCTCTTTTGTTTCTTTTCTTTTTTTTTTTTTTTGAGACAGGGTCTTGCTATGTAATTCAAGCTGAGCTTTGAATTCATTATGTAGCTCAGGCTGGTCTCAAACTTGTGGCCATCCTCCTGCCTCAGCCTCCTAAGTGCTGGGATTACAGGCATGTGCTCCCACATACAGCTTAATCTCTTTTTCATCAATGACTTTAAAACCCTTTTTGGTGTTCTCTGACATGGCCTCTACTACCATCACTGAGCCTCCTGGGACTTCATAACTCTATGATTTCCATTAGTTCTGGAAAATTCTTAGTATTACCTTTCATATATCACCTTCAACCATTGTTTTTCTTCTTATCTCTTCTGGGAGCTCCATGGACTACCTGGGACTTCCCACTCTTTCCTCCCTGTTTCTTACCTTTCCTGTCCTGTTTCCTATCTCTGTGGCCCTGGACTACAGACTGGATCATTTCTCCTGAACTGATTCACTAATTTCAAATATCACACTGTCTAATCTACTGTTAATGCTAAGCGTGAACAAAAGGTGTTTTTCATTTTTGTTCTTCTTTTGTAAAAGATCAATTTAGTTGTTTTCCAACAAATTATCTTAATTTTATAGATTTCTTTTTCCCTTCTTCTGATTATAATGTCTTACAAATGAGATTTCCTGCTTTCTTTTCTTTATTTCTTCAATGCCAACACTACCTTTTGCTTTGCTTTGCTTTGCTTTGCTTTGCTTGAGGTGGGATCTTGCTGTGTTGCCCAGGCTGACCCAATCTCCTGGGCTCAAGTAATCTGCCTGCCTCCCCCCTCCAAGCAGCAGGCCCACGGTGTGGCCACCTTGCCAGGCTCCACACTGCCTTCTTTGCTGACCCCTGGAGCAGGGGAGGGACTTTTCTTCCCCTCTCCTACTAAGGGAGCATGAACAAAAGGCAAGAGAAGGACTTCCTGCCACTCTTGGATCCGGTGTTCACACCACCAGTGCTGCACAAAGTAGCATCACGGCCCCATCCGGGTTTAGTGCCTGAGTTTCTCAGTCCCAGCTTCCCCCTCTGGTCTCCATTTCTCTGGAGAGGGAGTGGCAGCCCAAGCGCTCTTGCTCTGGAGTCCCTGCAGGAAGTGTCTCTGCTCCTCTGGGTCATTATCCGGGTTAAGGGGGTTGAGGGGATTTGTGGTTGTTCCTGAGTGATCCCAGGGAATCAGGTCTCCTCCTGACACCCTCTTCTAAGCTGTTTGTTTCCTTTCCATCCAGTGCTCTGGCTGATGCCGCCCTGAGGAAGAAAGTCCTGCACGTTCCCTACCGAGACTCTGTCCTGACCAAACTGCTCCAGTCAGCTCTGGGTGGGAACAGCAGAACTACTCTGGTAAAACCACTTTCTTGCCACATTTTAGACTGATTTGGTTATGCTGGCTATTGGCACTGTCACTGTGATTAAAATTCTCAAGGCTCCCACAACGAAGCGCTTCACAATGACCTCCTAACACGCTACCTTGCATCCACTGCTATCTTTTCCTCTAGTGTTCAAGTGAAGCTTTTCTAGGACTAATCCTAATTTTTAAATTTATTCTTTTCTGTAATTTTCAGGAACATATATTACTTTCGGTCTGGTTTTGCAGTGCTGGGGGTAGAACCCAGGACCTGGAGCATGCTAGGCTACACCCCAGCCTGGAGCATATATTACTTTTACTACCAGAACAACAACAATTTAGAACCTACCCCTGGCAAAGTCATGCTCTTCTCCACCAGCAGTCACTACATAGTGAGCTGGAGGTCAGTCCTGTGGAAAGCAGGCGCCCGCCCCATCTGGAGAGCCACCAAGGCTGGCATCTCAGCCCAACTCCAATCGTCAGCATGGAGCATCTGTCCTGTCTGCGGGGGGCGTGGGCTGAGTTTAAACGGAGCTCTCTGCTCACCAGCTACAGAGAAGAACAAACCTAGGCAAACGCTGCCTCCCTGGGGGTCCTACTGAAGAGAAAAAAATGCTCCCTCCTGGGACATGAGAGCCTCCTCTGCTCCCCAAATTCACAAGAAAACACATCCTTTCTTTATCTCTTAATCTTGCCTATTTTAAAAAATTGTTTGAAAGTTACTTATTTCCCAGTCACCTGAGGGCCTCCACCAGCCACCCCTCAGGAAACTGAAATAAAACTGTAGCTCTCTGGTAAAGCACTCACCTACCATGCATGGGGGCCTGGGATCACCCAGCTTCAGCACCCAGCAGCAGCAGCAGCAGCAGTAGCACAAGGCCCACAACGCACCCCCTGAATGTAAGACTAAATCAACAGGCCTCAGCAGGCCTATACACAATCACCTGAGGCAGCGAGGCCAGCAGGGCAACATTTAGGTGGGTACACTGCAAGATTACTCCCGTAAGACTGGAAAGGATTGACTGAAAACTTAGTCTGTTCTTTAGCTATCGTTGCTGTTTGTTGGGGGTTTTAGTGCTGGGAACTGAAAGAAGGACCTTGGCTCTCCTAAGGTGTGCGCTGTACCACTAAGCTGCTTCCCAGCCCCCATCACAATGATTTTACAAAGAATTTTAGGGGAAGGAGGTGAGAGGTGATCCTTGATCATCTCAGGAAGCAGATAAATCAGACTCTACCCTGCCAGCCTCCAATCCCGAGTCTCTGCAGCACCAATCCCAGTTTTAGCACAGATCTTAAAACCTCATTTCCCCTTGCTGGTCCCACCCCCTCGGTGCACTGAGCAGCCACCAAGTCCTAGCATGGTGGCAAACGCCTGCAATCGCAGGGCTGGGGGTGCTGAAAACAGGAGGATCGCTATGAGTCCAAGCTGTGTAGGGAGACCCTGTACCAAACACATAAATTTAAAAAAAAAAAAACCAAAACCCTCATTTCCTTCATTTCTAGAGTGGAGCTAGTAACAATGGTTACCTGAAAATACTCCTGTGATGAAAACTGAGGCGATACAAGTGAACCAGATTTAAAGGCATAGAGAAGCTAGGTGTGGTGGTTCACAGCTGAAAGCCCTGCTCCTCAGGAAGCTGAGCAGGATGACAACTTCGAGGCCAGCCTAGGCAATTTAGCAAGATTGCATTTCAAGATAAAATTACAAAAAGGCTGGGGATGTCACTCAAACCTTCCTGGATTCAGTCCCCACACTGAAAACAAAAAAGTCTAAAGCCTTCTTTGTTAGGCTTTTATAGCTCTGGACCCCAAGGGTCCAGGTCCACGCACCACGTGCTGCCAAGAGGAGGGGATAATGTTTTCCCTGTCACCAATAGCGACCTGCCCACCTTGAAGGAAAGCTCTGATTTGTGAAGTTTGTTTTCTAATTTCTAGAACCATGACTCCAAAGTCAGTACCCAGACTTGAAGCCATAGAAATGGCTGCCAAGGCACGAGCAATTCGCGCTGATCTTTGCAATACCAACTTTAAACAGTCACTGGAATCCCTGAGAAAAATCCTGGGGACTCAGTGCTGAGGACAGTGTGGTGCTAAGGTTGGCCGAGTGGGAACTAAAGTTGGTTAGCGGTGGGTTAAAACTCCACTTCTGCCAGTTATTATCTGGGTGATCTGGAGGGTATTATTTTCTGTGAACCTGATTTTCTGAGTTATAAGGTTTGAACAATCCTGTAAGTTATAAGATGCAAAACTGTTCTATGACTGTTAGCTGTTTTCACGTCAATAGTGATAACGCCCTATATAAATAATAAAATCTGCAAGGGATGCTTTTACAGATTGCAGCCATAAGTCCAGCTGACATCTGCTATGAGGAAACTTTGTCAACATTAAGATATGCTGAAAGGTACATTTATGAATATTTCTTTACCATAGTGGGTCTGTGTTCTATATCAGGGAACCTTTTCCAGGGCTCTCCTGCTTGATAGATTGACCTGTGGGGTGAGGATCTAGGAGCAGAACAAAATGACTTGCAACAGAGAAGTGAAATGAAATAAAACAGATAACAAAAATGATTCTGTCCCTGAAGTCCTAGATAGGAAAGGAGTTGTGGTCTCAGACAGGAGGAGCCCGGATGCCAATACTGAGGTGATACATTGTATGTCTCCCTGTAGTTTCCTGCCAAATACCATGGCTGTCCACATATTCATGTAACACAGGGAGAGAAGAGAGCCAGGCAGGGAGTGTCTGTGCTAATAATAAATGAAAATGAGCTAGGGAAGAAATGAGCTTCTGGTGACCCCCCCCCCTTTGAGTACATCAGCATCCCCCTTTGCTTGGTGACTTAGTTACTCTTCTCTCTTTGCTGGGGCAAAATACCCAACACCCAAAATGAAGGAAGGAAAGGTTTATTTAGCTCACAGTTTGTGGAGGTTTCAGTCCATCCTCAGCTGGCTCCAAGGCAGAGCGCCACATGGCAGAGGGCCGCAGCTCATGGGAGTGGAAACCAGCCAAGAGCAACGGGAGGAGCAGCAGCCACAGCAGCTAGCAAGCTCTCTCTCTCTCTCTCTCTCTCTCTCTCTCTCTCTCTCTCTCTCTCTCTCTTCTCTCTCTCCCCCTAGTGCTGCCCCAGGGTGGGTGTAGCACTCACATCCATAATTCCAGCATTGGACCAAGAATTAATCACAGACTTTAGAAGCTGCCCCATAACTACATGAGGCTTTGGGAGGACAGCTAGGCACAAACCGTAGCACTTGGCTACCTCATCCACCAGGGACCATGTAGGGATCACAGTCTTTGGAAAGTGCCTGGAAGTTGTAGGCTCCTCTTCCCTGGGGGAGGCTATCATCGCCTGCCTCTGTGCTCTTTTTTTTTTTTCCCCCGTGGAGCCAGGGATTGAACTCAGGCCCAATGCTTATTCTACTGAGCTATCTCCCCAGCCCCCTTCACACTGTGCTCTTGCTCTTTAAAACTCACATCTGCAGGGCATCCTTCACCATCCTCTCACCTGAGCACTGTGAGAAAAATGAGTATAGGTATGGGTGGAAACCTAGCCCACCAGGTCCCCAGCCCTCTTCCTCACACCAAGGCAGAGCCCAAGGAGCTGCCCCTGCAGCTCCAGTCAAGGCAGAGAGGAGCTGGACCTTCTCAGTCTAGGATCTTGGCGTCATATGGAAATGAAGACTATTTGCCATTCCTGAGTGTCACTTGTCAGGTCTCAGGGCTTGTTAGCCAGCTAGCTCAGCTCAGGCTTCCATCTGACTTCAAAAAGAGGCTGAGTCCTGACCCTTTTCTCCCTCACTTACTGAGGGGCTGAACCCTTCATTCCTGCAAAGTTGTGCCTGGTGTACAAGGGATGCTTGGAAACAATAATTATGATTATGCCTCCAAGTGATCGCCTTGCCTGATAGTCTTCCAGTGTCTTCTCAGTTTGTCCCTTGTGTCTGGGCTACACTTTCATTCTCACCCCTCATAGCACAGCCGCAATGTGTCACATCAGTCAGTATTTTTCCAGCAAGGCACGCTCAGGTCTTTAGGTAGAATTTCTGCTTGTGCAGCATTAGAATGCTTGGTTCTTCCTGCTTATCAGATGCACGTGTGTTGCTGGCCATTTTTGCAGGAGAGGCAGTGCTGCAGAGGAGAGAAGCAGGTTTGCAGTGGGCTGTGTAACTTGGGTCAGTCTTGCTGGAGACTGTTTCGATCTCTCCTGTGTGAAATGAGAAGAGTGAGTTTGCCAGACTTAGCAAATAAAAATACAGTATGCTGGCTAGAGCTGTGGTTCAGAGACAAAGCATAAGCTCTGTGTGCACACTGTCCTGAGTTTGATCCCCAACACAGATGTGTGTACTTGCGTGTATGCGTGTGCATGCACACACACACACACACACACACACACACACACACACTACAAGATGCTAGGTTAGTGTGAATTTCCAATAAAGAACCAGTTGTGATTTAGTAAAGTGTGCCCTGCACAATATTTGAGGTAGGTATTCCATGAGCTCTCTGGTGATACTGGAGGGGAATGAACCCAAAGACCACCAAGTCCCCCTGGCCTGGGGCACATGGCAGAACAGTGGCTCAACACTCCAGGGTTTCAGTTACTCTAGCAGCAGCAAAGGCGATTGTACACCTTCTCAAATAACGAAGTGTGCCCCAGGCCTGCAGATCCCTGGCCCAGGGTACTCTAGCTGAGCTATACGTTTATTTGAACCATGTATGTTACCGAAGTCACCGTGGGCCTTAACGGCTTAGTGGAACTGGAATTGGGCAGGGTGGAATCTCTGGTGACCAACTGGGGATGGGCTCCCATTCTGCCTGGCCTCTGGGCACACCTGTGGCTGCCCTGGGCCTGGCGGTTTAGCACTAGCCATGAAGGGACCTGAGAGAATGCTTGTTTGTCTTTGCTCATGAAAGGGCTAAAAAGGTCCGGAACAAAGCCGTTGTCAACACCGCCACACTGGCAAGAGAGTCAAGGGCAGAGAACAGCAAGCTACTGCTCGGAGGTGGGACCCCTGGAGTGGCAGGTAAACTGAGTCAGGAGGCTCTGTTCAGTCTATGGCTGGAGCAAGGAGGGTCTGAGCTGGCTAATGCCCTGGGACTGGGGTTGGAGGCCTGGAGCTGGGCCTGGACCTGGGGAGGGAAGGGCCCCAAGGCAGGTGGGAGGGTCCCTGGGCTTTGTCAAGATGTTTTTTTACTTACCCTTAAAAAAAAAAAAAGAGGGACTTTATTTTAAGGACAATGAAGATTCAGATGCAGTTATAAGAAATAATAGCCCTACCTTTTAAAATAGTCATGTTAGTCTTTTTGCTTATCTTTTTTTTTTTCTTTTGAGGCCATCATTCCTACCAGAACTGATGTTTACTTAATGTATGAGTGGGTAGCATTTGACATTTATGGCTTCATACAATTAAGTGAGGTGGCAGCCCAGGATAGGTCAGGAGCCACCACCTCTTCTAGTTCGGTGCTTGGTGTGGTGACTGGGCTCCTGGCAGACCAGCTACCTCAGAACCTTGGGCCAGCATGAAGGGCATGGTAAGCTCTGTGGGCCTAGTGAGTGAGGGTCCTAGCTTCGGTAATAATGGAAATGAAGACCAAAGCAACAGCAGGTAGTTACAGGCAAAAGCTTTTTGTGCCCAGCTCTAAAGGAAAGCGTACAAGATGTTATGGTTGGCGGAGGGAGCTAAGACCTGCTTGGTCATTATGTCGGTTCTGATTTTGCAGCTCTGAGGAATATTTGCAGCTTGAGGGGCACTTCTGTTCCCAAGAGACAATTGCTTCTGCCTGGGGAGGGCGCAGCCACAGTTTGCATAAGCTCTGCCAGAGTCCAGGGTGACCACAGGTTTTGGCAATGGCCAGAGACTTCTAGGTACCTATCCCAGGGCTTCTGGAGCAGAGGGCAACAGCCGAATGTCTCTGGTAATCTCTTATCTTTGTGTCCACCATCTGAAGGGTGATAAATTAGGTGAAGTCAGAATGAATGAGGCTTATGCTACCAGATTTTAGATAGGCGTTAAGTGACAAACGCGCCTACTACTGAGCAGAACAGGGATTGAGCCAAAGTTTTATGATGCTAGAGGAGGCAGGTACAGAGAACAGCAGGGATGCCAAGCTTTATCCTATTTTGAATTACCAATTGGGCATTTGTAAAGAGTCAGTGTTTCTTTGCAAAAGGCAGATTTAAGCCCCCAGCTGCCTCAAAAGAAAATACAAATCGTGCTCTTCATGAGTAAGAGATGAGTTTGTCCTCTGTCCTACCTCAGTGATCACCAACAGCTTTATTTTCTCATCTTGTTTACTCTTGAAGACACTGTTGAGGGCATCCTCGCTCTAATGTGGTACCTGGTTGATGAGGGCTGGTAATATTGGGAGGCTGACAAACTGGAGAAGAGTGCGGACCATACTTTTAATGAGTAACAGATCCCGAGTTAAGGCCCTGGAGTGCACCTGTCCCCTGGCTTTGAACGTCTCTAACTCTGCCTCTGAGCTCTGTTAAAGTGTGCAGTTGATTCTAATGCACTGACATCCAGAATCACAGCTTTAAGTTAGGGCCTCAGTTTTCACTTTGGCACCTGAAGATTACAAGCTATCCAAGGGGCGTATACAAGATACAGAATGGGTAATCACACTACAGAGTGAAGGTCTAAGTTTTTAAAATTATTACAGTAAAGACATTACCATTAAGCCCTCTCAAAAATATTCCCCTCACTTTAAACTCTTATCCGCAGTTCATTTTTTAATTTTTATTTTTATTAGTACACATATATCGTGCCTGAAGATTCCATTCATCATGAGAGGTTACTACACTGCATGACACTTTTTTTTTTTTTGGCAGTGTTGGGGATTGAACTCAAGACCCTGTGCTTGCCAGGCATGCACTTAAGCCACTGAGCTATATCCCCAGCCCTGCATGACACATCTTAATTCTTTGTGCTTCCCCTGCTTTCCCTCCCGGTTGCATTTTTCATTGACCTCCTTCCCATTTCCTCCATCTCTTTTCTGCTATTATCTTTTGTTCTTTATTTCTCATGAAAGAGAAAGCATAAGTGACATTTCAGCTTGTGTGTCTCATTTATTTCACTTAACATTGTGGTCTCAAGGTAATTTGTTTTCCTGCAAATGTTTCCAGTTTATCCCCTTTTTGGCAGCATAGCACTCTATTGTGTATAAATATATTTATTTGTTCACCTGGTGATGAGTAATTCGGCCACTGCCATGACTTAACTATTACAAATTGTGTCGCTATAAATGTGGATATGCACGTGTCGCTTAGATAGGCGTTGACTCTTTTGGAAAGTTACCTAGAGTGAGAATAACTGGGTTGAATGGAATTTCTTGTTTTAGTTTTTTGAGGACTCCCTAATATTTCCATACCGTCTGTACTAATTTACATCCCCACCACCAACACAGAAGGATTGCTTCGCGAGCGCAACCTAACCAGCGTTTACTGTTATTGGATTTCTTGACGATAGCCATTCTTTCTGGAGTAAGATGGATTCGCAGTGTTGCTTCAGTTTGCATTTCTCAAACAGTGAAGTTGAGTATTTTTTCATATATTTATTGGCCATTTATATTTCTCCTCCTGAGAAATGTCTTTATTTCAGTTGCCCATTTTTTTGAGTGGGTCTCTTATTTTAGGGAAAGGTGTAATTTTTAAAAATATTCTTAATATTAGTCCTCTGTCCCAGGAATAGTTGGCAACATTTCCATTTTCCATTTCTGTTTATTCAGCTGTCTATCCCCTTTACTGTATAGAAGTTTTTAAATTTGGGGCTGGTGAGATGGCTCAGTGGTCTAAAGCACCTACTTAGAACAAGCTAAGCTAAGCAAAAGCACAGCGACCGATGTTCAATCCCCAGCACCACATGCCAGCCAGCCCTGCCCCCTGGTGGGCTGAGCTGGTCACACACACACACACACACAATAAATAAATAAATTTTAAAAAA